GCCATTAATTTTTAATGCCACCCTAATCGCAGCTAGTAGACGCCTGTTTTGTCAAGGGTACAAAAATGAGTGAGGCACGCTGCGCAGGAGCTAGTTTGATGCAATTGGCTGTGGGAAAAAAAGCATGAATGAGTGCATGACACGGTATGAATGGGTCCCTGATCACAACTCTCACAACTCTAGAAAGAAACATATTAGACTTGGTTCACACCCATGCATTTTTTAGTGCTTTTTGCAGAAACTAACTACAGTCCATTTAAAATGGTTTCCTATGGGACATGTTCTCATCTATGCGTTTTTCAGCTGCTGCTTTTTTGGAAAGAGTTAAGGACTTTTTAAATTCAAAACGGTGCATTTTTGGTTCAACAGACTTCAATGTAGATGCTGCAGAAAATGCATGTAGTGTGTTTTTGGTGTATTTTTGATGCATTTAGATGCGTTTTGCATTTTTAATCTAACCAGCAACAAGTTGGCCAAAAAACCCCCATAAAAACACAAAATGCATCAACAACACATGAAAACATGCCAAAAATGTATACGCAAAGATGCATTAAGCACTGAAAAGAGCACTGCAGAAACATATCAAATGCAAACTGAATTGGTGTGAACCAAGCCTAAGGCTCCGTTCACACCAATGCATTTTTTTTTTGCTTTTTGCAGAAACGCACTACAGTCCATTTAACATGGTTACCTATGGAACATGTTCACATCTATGCTTTTTTGAGCTGCTGCATTTTTGGAAAGGGTCAGGGAATTTTTTTTTAAAAGCAAAAAGCAGCATTTTTGCTATAGTAGAATTCAAAGGAAAATCTGCTAAAATGCATGGCAGTACGTTTTTGCTGTGATTTTCCTGCGTTTTGCATTTTTATTCTGCCCAGCCAAAAAAAATTCCACTTTAAAAAAAAAAAGAAAAAAAAAGCTGAACAAAAATGCAAATTGCAACAGAAATGCATGTAGAAAAACGCAAAACGAACTGCGAAAAGCATTGCAAAATGGACAAAAAGCAAACTGCATAGGTGTGAATGGAGCCTTAGGGCTCATGTACAATGTAGCTGATAAACTCACATTCAGGAGCTGTTCAGCGTTTTTTTCAGCAGCCCCTGAACTCTTCCAAATGTTTTCCTGTGTGTTCATGTTCATATCATTGTTTACAGGCAGTTAAGTTTACAGTCGTTTTTTTGAATGCAGAAAACTTGCATTCAGCAGTAGATTTTATCAGTGTTTCAAACGCCAAACACTTGTAAATGCGGCTAACCGCATTTATAAGCGTTTGCGTTTGAAATTGTTTTTTAACTCTTCCATTTCCAGATGCTGTCCAGAGCCTATTTTCATCATGAAAAATGCATGCAAAGTGTTTTCCCAGTTCTCAAATGGACCTGGTACACCATACTTTGAGGTTTCGCATGAAAGAAAATATGTTAGACACTGCTGCAATCATTTCTGCACAGAAATGAGCTGGAACACATCCTAAACATCACAAACACAAAGACAGCTAATCTCAACAAATACTGCTCTCTCGATTTCTCTCAAAATGTCTGAAATAGTTAATTCTTTACTGTTTTTCAGTGCATTCTGGGTATTTGGAAAGGTCTCCTGAGGTTATCTTTATAAAACTCTTCTAAACGCAAATGCTCATAACCGCGCATAAACGCGGTATACAAACGCGGCTAAACAGACAGTTTTTAACTTCCGTTTTCCAGCAGTCAGTTTCCATCGTTCAGAAGTGTCCCGTGTACATGGAGCCTTACTCCTGGTAAGGATACTGATTGATTGGCAGCTGTCCAAGTTGTTGGGAGGCAGGTGTAGCCAGATCTCGATGCGTACATTTGGTTTACAATGTCCAAATATTTGGTATTTATTAACTCAATACAGGTTAAGCTTTTATATTTAGTAGGGATTTTGTAAAATTTGCTGTGTTTGTATCTGTTAATAATGATTTTAGTGTATTTTTTGTGAAAATATTGTTTTGATAAACATTTGTGCATATATTATGGGTCCCTAAAAATCAGTAGCACATTATTTTTATTCTACTGGTCATGTGCTTTCAGAAAATATATGGTTTAGGGGGTCTTTTACAAACTATAACAGATGTAAGGGAAAAATTAAAACCTACAGATTTCTAGAGAAATTTGGGTATTCACAGTTTAGCGTACATTTGATTTTCAACATTTTGCAAAAAGGTGCAATTTAAAATGTCCAAATATTTTGGTATTTATTAACTCGATACAAGTTAAGCTTTTATATTTATTAGACATTTTGTAAAATTTGCTGTGTTTGTACCTGCTAATAATGATTTTAGTGTATTTTTAGTGAAAATATTGTTTTGATAAACATTTGCACATATATTATGGATCCCTAAAAATCAGTAGCACATTCTTTTAATTCTACTGGTCATGTGCTTTCAGAAAATATATAGTTTAGGGGTCTTTTACAAACTCTAAAAGCTGTAAGGGAAAAATAAAAAGCAATGGAAAAATTGCAAGAATGGTCTGGCCACTTGGGTTTAAAAGTGGTGCGCAGAGCTTGGCAGTGAAAGGGTTAAAAAAAGATCTGAAAGCCATTAACTTCTTGCCGACCAGCCACTGTAGAAATACGGTGGCAGGTCGGCACGGCTGGGCAAAACTACGTTTTAAAACGTGCGTTTGCAAAACAGGTAGGGAGTGCGCACGAGGTGCGTGCCCACCCTACCCGTCCGGCCGATCGCGGCCGCGGGTGTCAGTTGCCGGGTCACGGTCGGTCATTACCTACCGTGTCCTGGCGATTAGCGGCAATCACTGACAGAGAGCAGGGCTGCAGTAGCTGTGCTTTCTGTCAGTCCCCTGTCAGCTCCTGACATGTTGATCCGGAGAGAAGAGTTTATCTCTCAGGATCAGCGGTGTTCCCGTGCAGTACACATCCCTGCCCCCTAGTAAAACACTCCACTCACACAATTAACCCTTGCAGTAAATAAAAAAGTTAACCTCTTCTTCCCCAGTGCCATTAGTACAGTGTCAGTGGTTTTTTTTTTTGCACTGATCACTGTATTGGTGTCACTGGGGATGTCAGTGACCCCAAATCAGTTCCCCCCCAGAGTCAGAATGTCTGCCGCAGTCCTGCAGTCCTGCCATAAGTCACTGATCGCCGCCATAAGTCGCTGATCGCCGCCATTACTAGTATAAAAAAAAATTAAAAATCCCAGTATCTTTCCTGCCACTTGAAAACGCTATAACTTTCACGTAAACCAATTAATTTACACGTATTGGTTTTTTTTCTTTAGCAAAGACATGTCGCAGAATACATTTTGGCAGAAATTTATGACTAAATTTGATTTTTACATTTTTTTTTACTGGACATGTTTTATAGCAAAAAGTCTAAAATATTGTTTTTTTTCCTCAAAATTGTCAGACTTTTTTTTTATAGCGCAAAAAATAAAAACTGCACAGGTGATTAAATACCACCGAAAGAAAGCTCAATTTGTGGGAAAAAAGGATGTAAATTTCATTTATGTACTGTTTTGCATGACCGCGTAATTGTCCGTTAAACTAGCGCAGCGCTGTATAGCAAACAAATTGCGTAAATTGCAGTATCTATACCATAGTTTGTAGATGCTATAACTTTCACACAAAGCAATCAATATACACTTATTGGGATTTTTTTTACCAAAAACATGTAGCAGAATACATTTTGGCCTAAATTTATAACTAACTTTGAGTTTACTATATATTTTTTATAGCTGAAAGTAGAAATATTGTTTTTCTTCAAAATTTTTGGTCTTTTTTGTTTATAGCGTGAAAAATAAAAAGCACACAGGTGATCAAATACCACCGAAAGAAAGCTCTATTTGTGTGAAAAAAAGGACGTAAATTTCATTTGGGTGCAGCGTTGCATGACCGCGCAATTATCAGTTGAATTAGTGCAGCGCCGGGTAGCAAAAAGAGGCCTGGTCATTAAGGGGGGTAAATCCTCAGGAGGGCGAGTGGTTAAGGTCCCATTGACATAGCTGACAGAATTAAGGGTTAAAGCACATGAAAACCGACTATAAATGTCTCTTTGCTCTCTTAAGAATACGCCATTGAAAGTGTTTTATTTTATCTGTTTGACACTTCTAAAAAATTATGTGTTGATCCTTCAAGACATCCAATGCTGTGCACACTGAGGTAGTATCACATATACATAGTTACATAGTTAGTCCGGCTGAAAAAAGACAAAAGTCCATCCAGTTCAACCATAGAAAAAAAAAAAGTTATAATCCTATACCCACAGTTGATCCAGAGGAAGGAAAAAAAAAACCCAGCAAAGCAAGCAGCTCTGTCCAGCTCACCTCTGTAAACTGCAAAGCATCTTCCATCTACAGTATATTATGGAGACAAGGAGAAGTGTTCTGTAGTCCTGCCCTCACGTGACAAGGCTGCTTCTCCTTAGTACAGTTAATGAGCATGAATGTGTTAATGGCAGGATCACCAGGTAAAAAAATAAAACTAATGCAACCACCTCATCCAAGACTGGCCAACATTTTTAATCTCGTATATAGTATACTTTAGGTTAAATGCTCAAGGCTATGTTTTTGACATTTTTAATGATGACTTTAGGATCAGTTTGGGGTTAGGGGCCAGGCCCTGTGGGGGTGCACTCTTTTTAGGTGCTGTAAACCCGGTGGTGCAAATGATTGTGCCAGGTTTCTAGGACCAAAACTTAAAGTACCATGTGTCTGTTAGTATGTAGTCACATTCAACTGGACTTGTCCCGTAATATCAAAGACTATTGAATGTTAAAGGAAATGTTTCTAGTGTTTATACATACAAATACCAGTGTGGATAAGAAGGCTGAGCTATTTTCCTGACCTCTTTAACCACTTGCCTACAGGGCTCTTATACCCCCTACCTGCCCAGGCCAATTTTCAGCTTTCAGTGCTGTCGCACTTTGAATGACAATTGCGCAGTCATACAACACTGTAGCCATATGACATTTTTTTGAGACAGATGGAGATTTCTTTTGGTGGTATTTAATCACCTCTGGGTTTTTTATTTTTTGCTAAACAAAGCAAAAACAACTGAAAATTTTGAAAAAAAAAAGTTTTTTCTTATTTTTTGTTATAACATTTTGTAAATAAGTGATTTTTTCTCCTTCACTGATGTGCACTAATGAGGCTGCAGTGATGGGCACTGATAGGTGGCACTGATGGGCATTGATAGGTGGCACTGATGGGCACTGATGAGGAGGCACTGGTAGGTGGCACTGATGGGCATTGACAGGCATCACTGACAGGCACTGAAAGGCAGCACTCATATATGGTACTGATAGGCAGCACTAACTGGCACTGATAGGCAGCACTGGCTGGCACTGATAGTCAGCACTTGTGAGCACTGATAGGCGGCACTGATGCACACTGATAAGCGGCACTGACTGGCACTGATAGGTGACACTGAAAGGCAGCTCAGATGGGCACTGGTATGTGGCATTGATGTGCACTGGTAGGCACTGGTATGTGGCATTGATGAGCACTGACAGCTGGCATTGATGGACACTGACAGGTGGCACTGCTAGGGCTACACTGATCATCAGTGCTCTGATGATCTGTGTACATGTCCCCATTACCGGCTCTCCTCACGAGCTGTCAGCGTGACAGCTCGTGAGGAGAGAAATGCCGATAACTGGCATTTCCCTATTTACATGCGATCAGCTATGATTGGACACAGCTGATCACATGACAGAGCCAACATCTTCGGCTCTTTCCATTGATCAGTGTTCCATTGTGTCGGAGGGACACAGCACACCACCGATCGCCACGCTACATGCTCCCAGGTCCGCGCACGCACGATTAAAAGTGGGAGGACGTCATATGACGTCCACCCAGAACGAGAGAACCGCCTTGCGCCCGTCATTACCTTATATGGTGGATGGGAGGGAGTTAAAACTGAAGAAGTGACTTGGATAAGCTATGTAACGACTTCACCATTAAAGGACAAGTCCAGTTGAATGTGAATAGCTACTACTAGATATACCATAACCTGGATGAATGAGAACCTTCATAAGATACATAAATTACCACTTACTAAGGCCATGCTACCTATGAATTTAAAAGCTTAGTTAGCTAACCATTGTAATTACAATTGACATTACTGTAATCTGTTTAGTACATTAAACACTGGAACTGGCTAAGACCTGGCATGTAAAAGACAATTCCATTCCCATCAAAAGCTGGGTTCTGAGCCAGATCTACGTGGAAATGTGCTTAGTTTACGACATATTCAATTTTGAGATGGGCATCTGTTATCTGGAGGCATATTGCAGCATAGGGCATGATCTTTAGCTTGAGGCTGCAGGGACGTCAATCTGGGAATGAAATACATCTTAAAGCTGCATGAGCAAAAAAGTCCCTAGGCTTATTGGAAAAGGTATGCCAGCAGAATTATGAGCATCCTAATGTACACAGAAACTGATGACACAAAGCAAAATGACAAGGACAAAGTGATATCAAAGTCATCATTGTGGTTGATAAAATGAAGAAAGTGGTCAACTAAGAAGTGCTATGTACCTGCTAGCACTCACCTTTGCCACACTGTTCTGCTACTTCCGTGCTGCATTGGATCCCTTGCAAAATGACTGATGCTTCTGGGTATGGGGGAGCATGAGACCTCCTCGCCTTCCTCCTACAATGCATTGAAAGGGCCCAAAGTGAACTATAGCTGGAGCTTACCCATATGGAAGAAAAATATATTTTCAAATATATTTTAAAAATATTCTTCCCAAATATATTGACATATATTTGAAATGCTATAATTTTGGCCATATTCAATATATATATATATATATATATATATATATAAACTGCATGTTGAAATGCCTTTTTAATACAAAATATATGAAAATATTTTTAAAAATACATTTAAAATATACTGTATGTCTTATAAAAATACAAATCTACATTTTTGGAATGCATTTACAAATATATGTAAAAAATATGTTAAAATTACTTTTTTATATGTTAAAAAAAATCTGAAGAGTATATTTTACTTTTGATTGGCTGAGGCAGCAGCAGAATCTATTGGCTTCCGCTGCTGTCAATCACAAGCCATTGAGCCAATCAGGAGAGGGAGGGGGTGGGTTTGAGCCATGGCTCTGTGTTTGAATGGATATGCAGAGCCATGGCTCGAGAGCATGCCTACTTGGGTGTCCCCATAGCAAGCTTCTTGATGTGGGGGCACCCGGAAGGATGGAGGCGTAGGGCGTGGGACCCGGTAAGAATGACATGTTTGTTATTTTTTTTAAAAAAAAACAAGACTTTAGTATCACTTTAACCTCTTTCAGTCTGCCCGCCCACAATGTACTGCGGATGAGCGGTAGCTACAGGACCAGCAACATACCTGTGCGTCGCTGGTCTTTTGTCAACACAGGGGGGTGCTGTGACACAGCAGAATGAGAATCCTGATAATCGGGACCTGATGATCACTTGATCGCTATGCGATCACATGATCACAATGACAACAATGTTTTTATGAATCAATCTGATTCATAAAAGCTTTTCTTCTGTTCCTGGAGAGCTGTGATTGGTCCAAAGCTCTCACGTGACACATTGGGCCATTCACAGCACCCTGTACCATGTGCCTAGATGGAGCCAGTAACAGACTCACTATTATATTGAACTGTCATGAACTTAACACATACATGACAGTTCAAAGCAAGTTTTGCATTGCGGAGCAATGAACTTCACTGCTCATGCAATGCAAAGTGTAAAAAAAAAAAAAAAATCCCTTCCCCCTCCCCTCCCAGCTGCTCCCTATGCTGTCCAGGTAAAGAAGAACAAACACGGAGTAAAAGCACTACATTTTACCCACACACACGTTAGATTAGCACATCCCTTTTATCTATTAACCTTTTATCACCCAGCCAGCCCCTATTAATCCTTTTATCACCTTGTCACCCAGCCTATTAGTACAGCATCAGTATATAACATTTTTAACTGATCACTGTATTACTGCCACTAGCAACATTAAATAGTGTCAGGGTCAGTTATCGCCCCTCCCAATCAAGGTCAGTTAGTGTTAGATTGCCCGCACACTACTATCGCACTCACACTATAGGTTACTGATAACCGCCATTACTAGTATAGTGTTTGTACAGATCAATATATTGATAACGAGCAGAACTATACTAGTGCCTCCTTTGTATAGTGTCCCCAAAAATGCAGTGTTAGCAGGATCGGTTTTCACTGCTAGCACTAGCGTTTAGCACCTCGCTGCTAGTGTGAATTGATTGTGGGCCAAAGCAATTTATATGCACAACAATACCTTGCCGCCCACCCAAATTCAGCGCTTGTCAGACAATTCACATGGAAACCTATCACAGACTCTGCATTTAGAATTTTTTCCGCCTAACCCTCAACATGGACATTACAAAAAAGAATGCATTACGGTCATGATCTACAGGCCTGATTTATACATATGCCTGTGTTCTGTGCTGTTACATATATGCCCAAAATGGACCAGCAATGTACTGGTACGTCGCTGGACTTTGAGTGGTGCTACAGGCATCATCCTGGTATTGTTTTTTTCAGCTGGTGGTTGGCTTTCATGTAAAAATAATCCTAGCCTCTAATTAGCTACTGGATTGCTTTTACAAGCAGCAGGACAGGCTCCCCCACCCCTCCTGCTGCCTTTAAGGTTTTCTTGGGCTCTCCTTCCCCTCAGGGGAACCTGAAAATGCAGCCAGCAGTTCTGCTGTCTGACAATAGAGCTGATCAGAGACTGGAATGCCTCCAATCATCTCTATGGTCTTAGAGACCGAAAGCTGTAAGCATTTCATAATTTCCGTTTCGCTGGATATAAACAGCTCCATTTTAACATTGGGAAAGCATCTGATCACACCGACCTTTGTCATTTTCGAAAAATTTGTGGCAAAAAAAAAATGTTCCATGGACTCAACACACCTCTCAGCATCTTCCTTGGGGTGTCTACTTTCCAAAAAAGGGTCATTTGGGTTTTTTTTTACTGCCCTGGCATTTTAGCACCTCCAAGAAATGTGATAGGCAGTCAGAAAGTAAAAGCTGCAAAAATTTCAATATATATATACCATAGTTTGTAGACACTATAACTTATAACACAAACTAATTAACATGCATGTATTGGGATTGTTTTCTACCAAACACATGTAGCAGAATACATTTTGTCCTGAATTTATGACTAAGTTCAAGTTTACTCTATATTTTTTATAACCAAAAGTTTTTTTTTGAAAATCTTCAGTCTTTTTTTGTTTATATTACAAAAAATAACCCAGTGGTGATCAAATACCACCAAAAGAAAGCTCTGTTTGTGTGAAAAAAGGACATACAGTCAGGTCCATAAATATTGGGACATCGACACAATTCTAACATTTTTGGCTCTATACACCACCACAATGGATTTGAAATGAAACAAACAAGATGTGCTTTAACTGCAGACTGTCAGCTTTAATTTGAGGGTATTTACATCCAAATCAGGTGAACGGTGTAGGAATTACAACAGTTTGCATATGTGCCTCCCACTTGTTAAGGGACCAAAAGTAATGGGACAGAATAATAATCATAAATCAAACTTTCACTTTTTAACACTTGGTTGCAAATCCTTTGCAGTCAATTACAGCCTGAAGTCTGGAACGCATAGACATCGCCAGACGCTGGGTTTCATCCCTTGTGATGCTCTGCCAGGCCTCTACTGCAACTGTCTTCAGTTCCTGCTTGTTCTTGGAGCATTTTCCCTTCAGTTTTGTCTTCAGCAAGTGAAATGCATGCTCAATCAGATTAAGGTCAGGGGATTGACTTGGCCATTGTATAACATTCCACTTCTTTCCCTTAAAAAACTCTTTGGTTGTTTTTGCAGTATGCTTTGGGTCATTGTCCATCTGCACTGTGAAGCGGCGTCCAATGAGTTCTGAAGCATTTGGCTGAATATGAGCAGATAATATTGCCCAAAACACTTCAGAATTCATCCTGCTGCTTTTGTCAGCAGTCACATCATCAATAAATACAAGAGAACCAATTCCATTGGCAGCCATACATGCCCACGCCATGACACTACCACCACCATGCTTCACTGATGAGGTGGTATGCTTAGGATCATGAGCAGTTCCTTTCCTTCTCCATACTCTTCTCTTCCCATCACTCTGGTATAAGTTGATCTTGGTCTCATCTGTCCATAGGATGTTGTTCCAGAACTGTGAAGGCTTTTTAGATGTCGTTTGGCAAACTCTAATCTGGCCTTCCTGTTTTTGAGGCTCACCAATGGTTTCCATCTTGTGATGAACCCTCTGTATTCACTCTGGTGAAGTCTTCTCTTGATTGTTGACTTTGACACATACACCTACCTCCTGGAGAGTGTTCTTGATCTGGCCAAATGCTGTGAAGGGTGTTTTCTTCACCAAGGAAAGAGTTCTTCGGTCTTCCACCACAGTTGTTTTCCGTGGTCTTCCGGGTGTTTTGGTGTTGCTGAGCTCACTGGTGCGTTCCTTCTTTTTAAGAATGTTCCAAACAGTTGTTTTGGCCACGCCTAATGTTTTTGCTATCTCTCTGATGGGTTTGTGTTTTTTTTTTTCAGCCTAATGATGGCTTGCTTCACTGATACTGATAGCTCTTTGGATCTCATCTTGAGAGTTGACAGCAACAGATTCCAAATGCAAATAGCACACTTGAAATGAACTCTGGACCTTTTATCTGCTCATTGTAATTGGGATAATGAGGGAATAACACACACCTGGCCATGGAACAGCTGAGAAGCCAATTGTCCCATTACTT